GATATCCATGTTGAAAGAAAGCATGACTTACATATTTTAGAAATTTATTTTGGAAAGCATATGTGAAAATTCTATTGTTGAATTATTAGAAGCATGAAGCATTCATGCATCCATTGGGAAAGAAAAAGGGAAAAGTGTTTTGAAAGAAATGAAATTGTTTTGGGAAAAATGGTTTTTGAAAAGTGTTTGTGAAAAACTCGAACGCCTAGGAGGCGCCTAGTGGTCCGTGGTGTTAATGTGATCTAGAGGGAGCTAGAGAGAGACTTTAGTATGGTTGAGCTAACTAGGCCCAGACGACGCCATGGAGGTGCCATGTGGTCAGGGAAAGCTAGCCAACCCTCCCCTCGTGGCGCCATAGAGGTGCTATGGGCCGGATTGCATTAACGGTTTGGAACGGTAAAAAAAGAATTGTTTTGGAAAATGGGGGAGTGACATTGACATGACATTGCATTCATTAGCATATTTGGTGTATTTGTGATTGGAAGATATTTATTTACATACTTCTTGTGGTGTTATTGATGTGTATTCCCTATGACATTATCCCGCTTACGTTTTACCTATTCTTTGCGTGGATTCACGGGTCATAAGAAGTGTGTCTTAGACACTTCCTACTGAGCGTTTAGCTCACCCCATTATCTTAACATTTTTCAAGTTTGGGAAAAGAAGTGGCGGACGACAATCCACCACAAATCTAGATTGGATCGGGATTATCATTTTGTGGTCTTTTGTGTAGAAACATGAACCGTATTCTCTTGTAATGACCAAGTGTAGCTTGTATAATGTTGTAGCAGTGGATGTTATAAAAATAAATGTAATCTTAACTATTTTGTGACACTTTAGTTTAATTAGTATAATGTTGTAAGTTATGGACTTTTAAATTTTACTTATATTTCATGGATTGTAACTTGATGTAATTAAAGTGCGTTCCTTGTTTGGATGAGATAGAGGAACGGGACCTTTTTATATGTATGTAATCATTTTGGGAATGTGGTATAATATTTGTATTGTGCGTTAGGACAGGATAGATTAGTTTTAAGGCCAAGTAAGGCCATTACATTTTTATGTATTTCAACAGGTTGTAGAGGGACTTTTCTGCGGAGGTCATGCCGAAATTTTATTATTATTATTATTATTATTATTATTTTGGTATCTTTTTGGTCATTACACCACATTACCAATGACCCATGTACTCTCCGATCTAAGGACTTATATTGGATCCGACTATGTTATTGTGGGTAATAGTGAAAATTATCCATCACAAATATTGGACAAGCACAAGTCTTTGCTAAGGACTCACAGTTATCTCTAAATAATATGCTTGTTGTTCCCTATCTGAAGATAACTTTGATCTCTGTCTCTCAGCTTACATGTTGTTGGGTTTGTGGCTCAAATTTGCATAAATTAGTTTTTTTTTTCTTTTTGGAAGACTGAAATATGTGAAAGAAATTGTGTCTTATTATGTTTCATTATGTCTCTATTTTAGAGTTGAGATTGATTAGGTAACTCCTTGTAGGCAAGTGGTATAATTCTTGTCCAACAAGGAATTGGGTTTTAAAGACTATATATAGAGATGGTTGAGAGGTAGAGAGAGAAAGAGATAATTGTAGAGAAAGGAAAAGTGAGTTGAGTTTGTTAGAAGAGAAAAAGTGTGTAATCAAAATTTGAAGTAAAGATAGTCGTCCTTCTCCCGTGGATGTGGGCAATTTGCCGAACCACATAAATCTCGTTTTGCTTGTGTGTGCGCTTTTATCTGTTCTATTTGCCAATTGTGTGTGTGAAATCCTAACACATATGACTACCTATGTTATGTTATATTTCATGACCATGATCTTCTTATTAAGGATCAAAAGACACATCAAGTGATGGCATCGGGGAGTAAGAAAGTTGGATTATATGTCCTCGAGAATTGCACGATCAAAGCTCTCTTCTCAAATAGGTTTCGTGTAATAGATATAAATACTTCGCATAGACGGCTAGGACATCCCCAAATTAAAGTTCTAACTTATTTGCACCACAACAAATTGATATAAGTCAATAAAAAGACTTCTCGTTTATGAAAGAGTTGTGCTTTAAGCAAAAGCTCTAGACTTCCTTGTTTTTTTCTTCCAATAACTGGGTATGTGTATGTGCACCAATTGTCGAGATACATTACAACCTATGGGTTCCGACACCTGTTTTGTCTAATCAAGGCTTTTGTTACTATGTTATGTTTGTTGATGATTTTTTTATATTTACATGGGTTTATCTCTCAAAAAGAAATCAAACCATATAGGGTATTTCAAAGAGAAAAACAATTTACATGGGTTTATCTCTCACCTTCTCTCACCAGGAACACACCTTACTATCTTTTTCATCAAAAAATGGCTTGTCTATGACTTCCAACGAACTTTCGGTTGCCAATGCTACCCATATCTTTGCCCCTGCACAAAATATAAACTTAAACCAAGATCCATCCCCTATGTTTTCATGGGATATAGCGATAAACAAAAAGGATGCCGTTACCTATACCTTCAAATAGTTCGTGTCTACGTCTTTACTTTTCATAAACCTTTGCCACTAATTCCTAACCCCATTGACAACACCACCCTTTTTTTATTGGTTATCACCCTCTATTCTACCCAATCAGACTTAAAAACCCACCCACTTATCACCAGCCATTGACCAATATCATGCACGTCTTTTTCACTACCAACCTATACATTCTCCTCTTTCTTTAGCACCTGAAGCCCCTGTCTCCACTCCATTCACAATCCTACAGCCTACCATCACCCTACAACAAACTAAAGTCAACTTACCCACTCCCAGCATACCTCCACAACCTAATACACATCAAATAACAACACCAAATCCTATACACTCCATAACTATCTATAGTCAAGCTGGTATTCTCAAACCCAACCCCAAATATTCCCTCACATTAACCACATAAGTCATTCAGCCTAAACCAAAAAAATAAAAGTGCCCTAAGCCACTCGGGTTGGTATGCAACCATGGTTCATGAAATGCAAGCCCTACATCAAAATCAGACTTGGATTCTTGTCCCACGGCCACCTCACATGAATGTAAACTGAGCTGAATCTGGTGTATCATAAGGGATTTGCCTTTTCTGGTACCTCCCAAGGAGCGGGGACTGCCCTTCTAACATTTTCGGGGGATTCCATCCTCAAACGCAAAGTTTATGCCTGACCGATATGGCGCATCATCATTTAGCTATTGCATTTATTTTTCTCAGTGCTGGTCATATGTATAGAACTAACTTCGTGATGGGGCAGGGATGTATTTTTTCTGTTGTTGTTGTGAGAATTCTTAATTCATGGGTTGTAGGGAGGGATTTATGTCACCAATTGGATGTCAATGGGTTTTTAAAACAAAACTCAAGCCTAATGGATCCTTGGATCAGTTGAAAGCCCGACTTGTCGCAAAAGGATACAATTAACAAGAAGGTATAGACTTCAATGAGATATTCAACCCAGTCATCAAATTGGGAACTATTCAAACAATTTTCATTGTTGCTACAGTTAAAGGATGGAGTCTTCACCATCTTGATGTCAAAAATGCCTTTCTTCATGGGCATCTTGACACAATAGTCTGTATGGAACAGCCACCAGATTGTGAAGACACTCATATGCCAAACTATATTTGTCAATTACACTGCATTATATGGCTTGAAACAAGCTCCACGAGCTTGGTTTGATCGGTTTAGCTCTTTAATCAGTTATTATGATTTTTTATGCAGCCTGGCTGTTTCATCCCTTTTTGTGTTACATAATGGTGATCATCTCATGATGTTACTAGTTTACGTTGATGATATAATTCTCACAAGAAGCACATCAAATTTATTGGATGAATTTATCACACAAATGGGTGCTGAGCTATCCATAAAAGACTTTGGTCAACTAAACTATTTTTTGGGTGTACAAGTTCAATCGTTTAGTGGTGGGATTTTTCTATCCCAGTCTAAATATGACTGATTTACTTCATAGAATGCACATGGCTGACTGTAAACTCATTGCCACTCCGATGACATCAAAACCAGCCATTCTTGACAACGGAAATGCTGCTTATCTTGATGTCACAAAATACTGAAAGATTGTAGCCACTCTTCAGTATCTAAAGCTCACTCAGTCTAACCTATGTTATGCGGTTAATTCTCAGATACGTAAAAGGTATGCTTTCCATTGGTCTTCACATCCTTAAAATTAGCAGTTTAGACTTATATACATTTTCTGATGCCGTTTAGGATGGCTGCCCAACTAGAGAAATTCCACCACTGCCTACTGCACCTTCTTAGGTTCTTACGTTCTAATTGCATCTCTTGGAAAGCTAAAAAGAAACCTATTATCTTTAGGTAAGTGCAAAAGCAGAATATAGGGCTATGGCAACAATGACAGTTGAATTAACATGGCTTTCATTTATTCTTCGTGACATTGGCATTTATCAAGACAAGCTTCTCTTCTATGATAAGCTCTCAGCTCTTCACATGACTGTAAATCGAGTTTTTATAATCAAACAAAACACAACAACATTAATTATCCCTTTGTGCGTAAAGAAGTTGCCTTGGCACCCTTACAACGAGATTTGTTCCCTCCTATCGGCAGCTTGCTGATATCTTCGCCAAGCCTCCCTCCCGAGCCGCTTTCATGGAATTAAAAGCAAACTTGGACTCTGGGCTAACCCCACGTCAAGTTTGACAGGGGGTAAAAGTACGCTTATGTAAAACATGTGCGAAAGACCTAGTAAAATTCAAACGCAGCAAGTCCTATTTTCTTGTAACAACTTTTCTGATACTACGTAGATATTCTCGTATCTTAAGTTTTCTTTACAAACAAGTCCCTATCTAGTTGTGTTATGGATCATATTAGTCAATCAAAAAGGTAGAACTTAATTATAATGGCAATCTTAAGTTCAACCCACCTACCAAAGTCGTTTAGCTAAACTATATATTGCACATATTTGATACTAATAGAAGCATAATAAACTTTGATGAGTTGAATATTTACCCATTTGCGATATTGGTTAAATCCCAACCGCTTAAGTTTGCTGCCTCCGTCAATGCTGCCCTCCACCTTTGCACCTTTTCTTTGTCCTCCCTAAAAGTTTCTTCGTGTTTGACAAATGCTTCTCCAAAACTTCCCTTTTGTTTCCTTACTTGTGAGGGATCCACGTTGTAGAAGACTGGTAAAACGGTCTGTCCCACTGAATTCTTGCATCCGATGATCTCGACGAGTTCATCCAAACACCATGACGAGGTTGCATAATTTTTCGAAAATACGATGATTGCAAATTTTGATCCCTTGATTGCTTTGAGGAGTTCTGAAGAAATCGATTGTCCTTTCTTAAGTTTCTCATCATCTTTGAATGTGTAAAGTCCTTTATGTTGCAGAGCCATATAGAGATGCTCCACAAAATTCTTGCGAGTGTCTTCCCCGAAACTCAAGAAGACATCATAATTCCATCGAGGCGAAGAAGAAGAAGAAGCATCCATTAACACTTGCTAGTTTTGTGACTGCTGTTGGCTAAGCATCATATCCAATGAATTTCCTTACTGATCAAAGCAAAAAAAAATAGCTGGAAAAATAAATAATAATCGTTAGGATTTGCTAAATCTCTCAATTGTTGTTTGTCGGAGATCATTGTGTTCCAGAGGAGAGAGATAGAAGTGGGGGCTGCCGGCAAGGGAGAAGATTTGCCGCTGTTTAGTCTTATCCTTTTAACAAGTCAACGGTTCAGATGGACTTAAATCAAATGGCTGAGATGGAGTCTTGTTAATGGATTAATAACCTTTGGCCTTTATTTTATTTAAGGGTTAATTACATTGACAATTATTGAGGTTTAGCATAATGACAGTCATATACAAGTTGGGTCTTTTTTGAACAATGACACCCCTTCTTAGAATTCTGATCCAAACAAGGCCTTAAAAGCTTGTAAAAGATGATATTGCCCTTCTTATTTTCATTGTAGAATATCAGCATTAGTGAAAAGTCATTTTTGCCCATCAATCAACACCACCCATATATGACGTCGGTCCCACCTATCCCTTCATTTCATCTCTCTCAAACCGTTTCATTTCTGAGTCCTTTTCTGATCCAAACAACACTACAAGGCCACCACTACCACCAAGCCATAATGTCACTACAATTGTAAGATAACAAAAAATTGTCGAAAATAATTAAAAGATGTTGTGTGTGTGTATGTGTAAAAGGGTCACAATGGGAGTGTCCTTAGTGCTAAGGTGAGGCAAAAGGTCACTAATGCCAACGTATACCAGAGCAAGTGGAACACCCATAAGACTGAGCAAGAGTCTCGGACTTAAACCGCTTGTAAGCATTCAAAGCCACCGGTGGCGTTCTAGATAGCTACCTCTTCATCCAATGCCCAAATCCTGAACCAACCCGCTTCGAATCCCCAACTTCGCCGCTATCGAGATCTTGACCCTTAATCAATGGCCTAAAGCTCTTGGATCTCGCCATCAACGCCTCAGGACTCGCCAAGTGGTGGTGGCTCTTCTTATGGCGAAGCAAGCTCGACAACGGCGACACGTTCCTCGCCGGACTCTTCTCACAAGACTTATACAGTTGTGAGTTGTGGCGATGGTGGGTGCGCTAGCCATTGTGCGTGTCTGTAAATATGTGTATGTATATGAATTGTAAGTTATTGACAGAAAGTTGGAGATGAGAGGTTAGATGTTAGAGAGAGAATGTGTAACAAAGGGAAAGTAGACAGATGAGTTGACTTGCCGACTCCAGCCATGGGTAGATTTGTCTCAATAAAATGATTTATAAAATTAAAACTATTCAAAGGGTAAATTGGTCAATTCACCATGTGATAGTGGCTATTGGGGTGTCTTTGTTAACTTTGTCAAAGTTGAAGGGTTGTCATTGTTCAAAAAAAGCCCAACTTGTATATGGTTGTCATTATGCTAAACTTCAAGGGGTGTCAATGTAATTAATTCTTTACTAAATGATGTAAGTTGGGCCAATTTATATTGTTAAACCTCTTAAAACTTCTAGAATTGTCATTCTGTCAGATATCATGAAGAGACAGAATTAAACAAAATATCAAAGCCCAATGAGAAAAAAGATGGTAAAGTGAAATGTTTCCTTTAATTCACTTGTCAAGTACATCTTTCAAACACAAGTTTACACGATATATATCGCTTCAAAAATGGGCTTCTTTAAGTTAATTATAAAGGTTCTTCTACAAGTTAGATAACGAGCTTCTTTGCATATTAAATAATGAGCTTTTTTTATACGCCAAGTAAAGAGTTCTTTTGTAAGCTAATATTTGAGATAAATATAAGTGCACCCCACTTATATATATATATATATAACATCCTTCTTGGGGTCCACGACATCATACTATACCAAGAATATGCCTCGTTAAAACCTTATAAAAGAAAACTAGTGAGACAAAACCTTAGGAAATGTAATACCCCTAATTTTAAAAGGATAGTCTCGGTATTTATTTATTTATTTTTATTGTATTTTTTTAATTGTTTAATTGATTATTTGACTAACTGTTTATGTGTTTAATTGAATTAAGTGTTACTTGATTAATTGGCTACTTATTTATGTGTTATTCGTATTTTGTCTAGGTGTTATTTGTATTATTTGTTTAATTAGATTGTGTGCTTAAATGATGTATTTGATTAATTGTAATTAATTGTAAATTAAATGATTAAATGTTTTATTTTATTTTATTTTATGGTTATGGTTAGTGGTAATGGGCTAACTAATTGGGTCTAATGGACTACTTGGATAGGAGGTTAGATGGGTATGGATAATTACCCATAGATAGTTCTATATGTATATATATAGATATTTATGTATATACATATATATAAAAAGGAAAGTAATTTATTAATATTATAGTAACTTTAGTATTAATAAATAATCTGATGTATATATTTTATATATTTATATAATAAGGATACGTAACATGTTTTAAGTTACCTTTTAAATATTATGGTAACTTTAGTATAAATAAATAATCTGATGTATATATTTTATTTATTTAATGAGGATACAAATAGATTATATACGTAACATGTTTTAAGTTATTTTTTTAATATTATGGTAACTTTAGTATAAATAAATAATCTGATGTATATATTTTATTTATTTAATGAGGATATAGATAGATTATATACGTAACATGTTTTAAGTTACCTTTTAATATTATGGTAACTTTAGTATTAATAAATAATCTAATGTATATATTTTATTTAATTAATAAGGATATACATAGATTATATACGTAACATATTTTAAGTTACCTTTTTAATATTTTCATTTTTTATTTTTCTTTATTAAGTTGACTTGGATTGGGAAAAGGAATAGGGTTATTATTTAGTCTATAAATACACAACTATAGGTTGAAAAATGAGTGAAAATATATCACGTAATATATTCTAGAGAGCGAGTTAAAGAGAGAAGGAGAAAGAGGAAGGAAGGAGGAGAAAACCCTTTAGAGAAAAGATCAAGGAAGAAGAAGTTTAACTTTCAATCCGAAAATTTAAGGCAAGTTCTTCTTCTATCTCTTTCCCTTTGATTCGTGTTTCTGTACATGCCTAGAAAATTCCATGATTTATTAAACACATAAAATTAAATAATTATGCATGTTTAATTGGGTTAGAACATAGGTTTTATGAAATTGGTTCATATCTGTTCTTGTGTTATGAATTGATAAAATGCATGATTTTGATTTGATTTCTTATGTGAATTTTTACATGTTTAAATTATGTATTTTTCATATCTGTGGAATGATGGAACGTAGAAACATGCCTAAGATTCCTGAACATTAAATAGGGACTATGTTTGGGTTTTAATAAATTTAAATAGACCCAATCATAATGATACTTACTATTTGAATGTTTTAAACAAACGAATGGATTTAATCTTTTAAAATATTTTAGCAATTGAGATTAAATGTGTAGGATGAATTGGATATGGAGAATCCTTATTTAACGGTATAATAAAATATCATCATGTATAAGATTCAGTTTGTGTAGGACATATGATATAGGAAGTTTAAAGAAATAATAAGTCATTCCTATTATGTGATAACTTGATATCATATTTATCATAGTTATTTATGGAATGTTTGATGTATTTCCTTAATTGTTACATCAATTGTTGGATTGTGTGATTTAATGCACCGGTATGGGACGGTGGCATTCTAGGGATGGTTTAACTTATTAGTTAAGTCCTACCTATTTTATATAAGGGAATGGATTAACTAAAATGTTAAGTCCTACTTATATTTAAGTCAGGTCAGCTGAACAAGTTGAATGACTTATGGATGATTAATTTATTATATAAGGGAATGGATTAATTAAAATGTTAAGTCCTACTTATATTCAAGTCAGGTCAGCTGAACAAGTTGAATGACTTATGGAGAATTAATTTATACTGGATAGGATGGTTACTAGATTTTATATATATATAAGTATGGTGTCATGATATGAGCTTGAGTCTCAGGATCAATGGTTAGGGCGCGTATATCGCCAGGGATGTGTAGCTAGATATAGTGTAGTTGTGTACCCTGGTAGGTCTAGGTACTCATGCCCACTATACGTGCGTTTTGCATGTTGCCTACTATTCAGGTTGAGACAACCCTATAGTCTAGTGAGGTTCCTTTAGTGTGTATATATATATATATACGGACTACTAGTTACTGTTGGATTGACTAGGATGTATACGTGTATCGGATCTCTGCTTGGACTGTAGTAGAGTAGAACTTGTTTGTGGGCCTGACCCACCATTATTTTTCAGGTGTTCGTCACGAGTAGAGGTTGTTCGTGCTGAGCGGGGATCAGTCTACTTCATTCTTCCGATGCTACATAGGAGTTCCTTTATGATTCAGTTTCCTGTTTTAGATTACTATCATTTGTTTAGTTTGGATTTTCTAGGGGTCCACACAGTATGGATTCTCGAGTTGCATTTTGGAGGATCAGTTGTATCAGAAGAGTTTATTAATTAATGAAAGTATATTATGAGGTTTATTATCAGATTATCATTTTAGTTTCTTGTCAGCATTTTATTTATTCTTCTTTATTCTTTTGTACTCTGTGTTCGTTTATTATCAATTTGTTTTGATATCCTCGGGTATTCGGGCGTAGGCCTGGCCAACCCGTATTCGGAAATTCGGGGGTATCACAGTTGGTATCAGAGCACTCCAGGTTCAAGTGTCCTTAGGAGTATCTTTCGTTATGTGACTTCCGCGTTACGTCTCTTAAAACTTAGAGCCCGTATTAGGATTCGTTGTACTCTATTTACGGTTTGTTGGGAAGGAGCTGATGTCACTTATATTCTGTAGTCATAGAATGGTTGGCACTAGGAAAAGGATGGGTTCAAGGCGAAAGCGGTAAAGACCCAAAGGAGTAAAGGAGTACGTTATCGATTTCGTTACCAGAAGGCAAAGTTAGGGATCGATGGTTTAGGTTCATTTGGCGTTACTTTAAAAGTATAAGCCAAGGAAGGATTTAGGTGTACGTGATAGGTCACCGCATATCGGGGCTAACACGACTTCAGTTGATCTCAAAAAGGAGACAAGCGAGGAGTAGGAGTTGAAGAGGATCCTAATGGAGGAGATTATGTGCATCTAATAGAGAGGATACTAAATCTTGAAGATGGAAGATCATGCGAGGTGATCTGAATTGCTAATAGTATAGCGAATGTTATAAGTAGAATTGGGATTGATCAATTTACAAATAATTAAGCTTTCTTATCAT